GGAAATGTTTTTCATTAGGACATCCCCCGTGCTAGTTTTCCACACTCACACTTGCCTACTCATTGCATGCTTGCATCTTGCATACTCACCCTTGCATATCATGCTTGCATACTTACACTTGCATACTTTGACACTGGCATACTTCGCACTTGGATGCTTTCGCTCTTCCAGTGTGCGTGTGTGTGTAAGTGTGGAAATGTCAGTGTGTAAGTGTAAGTGTCGAAGTGTCAGTGTTCAAGGGATTTTCCGGAAGAACCCTTCGCAATGCTTTCGGGAAAAAGAAACCTTTCCCTTGGCCAGCCAGGTAGCTGAGACCATGTCTGCAGCAGGCGAAGCCTTTGCAGATGCAGAGGACGGATGTGGGAAGGCTTTCGCAGATGCGAAGCTTCTCCATTCTACAGTCTTTGTCAAGCTTGGAGAGATTCCAGGAAGCCAAAGAGCAAGCTGCTGCCAAGCGTCAAGAAGCTGTCTCGGTGAAGAAGCAGGCAACTGACAAGGCCCGATGAAGAGTGGCAAGGATTAAGCATTCTTGCTGAATTCATGAAGAAGAAGGAAGACATGAAGTAAACGTGATACAGAACTGAGGATTAAGGAAGCACAGACAGGACAATGAAACACAACATGCAAAAGGCGGATGGATGAGTGCTTAAGTGTGCTTGAAGCCGTGATGCGAGGCAGCCAGAGTGGAGAAGCTCAAGAGGGAGGCCCGCAGAGCTGTAGTGTATTCTTGGCACATAGGATTGATGAGCGGAAGGCTATGTAGGTTCTGTGGACCAAGTTAGAATCCCTAAAGCTGCAGCCTTTGACCGCTCAAATCTTCAACACATATAAGTAATCACATATTATATATATAGAGATAGACACATAAGCAGACCCTTCAATTGTTGCATGGTCGCTGTCCTTTTGTTGTGTCTTTCGTCAAGTTCTTGGGGGATCGAGAGTCGCTGAGACGCCATCGATTCAGATTGAAATGAAGAAGCAAGAGATCATGGCGCTGACTCAAGAAGCCACCCTCCTTAGAGCTTGCTCAGCGCTTGTGTGTGGTGCTTCTAATATCCGATTCTGCGGTGCTACGTGTGCACCAAGGCCAAAGAAACCAGGGATGACTCTGAGCGCCTTCATCGTGAAGCTGAGGTTCGAAGAAGCGTAGAAGTCTACTCTGAGGAAAAATCGGAAGGAAGAACGGGCTGAAGGTCTAAAAGTCCAAACAAGAACAATCACACAGAAGAAACCAAGTTTCATTAGCCGAGACAGAGTTCCCGAGACAGTTTCTCGGAGCTTTAAAGGTGAAAGCTCAAGAAGCATCCCGCGCCGAGGCGGGGCTTGTGTGACCTCGATGGTACATCGTGGCACTTACACAAACACACACACACACACTTAGATAATGGGTTTGCAGTTAACTCTGTTCCACGTCGAAAAGGTGAGGGAACGGAATGGCGATAAGGTCAGCGCACTTGACATGTTGAACAACTGTTTGCACTCGGCAGTCAACAAAATCGCGGCAAACTGCGGTGGCGCAGCGACACATCAGGTGGAAAAGGGCTTAGGGGCATATCATGCAAAGACCATGAAAGCAAAGAAAAGCGGCGAAGATTGGAGTTGTATCACAATGCAGGTACAGGAATGTGCGTCCACATTCCCTTCCGGCTGAATCCCATAGCTTCGTTGGCATGGCTAGGCAAACAGCTGCCATGCCCCCTGCTTGTGGAAAAACTCTTAGAAACAGAGTGTGACACACACACACACACACCTGAGTGAAAGGGTCCTGAGTAAGCCAAGTAATAATATGCAATAATTATGTAGGGTGGTCCTACCATCTCGAAGCTACCAAAGTTTCCAAAAGGCTCAAGCTCCAAAGACTCAAGCTCCAAAGAACCGACACAAAGGCCAGAGTGCCTTTTCTAGTTATAACTGGGACTTCTTAGGAAGCGAAGAGTCGTCATTCCAGCAGGTAGACCGGATTGATCAAGTCCGGCTTCCACCATTACGCATAGGTTTGTTGGCGTGCGTTTGCGGAATGGCCGCATGCCCCCGCTGATAGGAACAAACTGGAAAAGGTAAAGAAACAAGGCAAAAGGCCTCCAGTGATTCCATGCATTTCACACGCGCGCACACACACAGACAGGCATATTTTGCACAGACAGACATGGCTCGGCAAGCTGCTTGAGGCCGTAGCCACTGAGAAGGAGGATGTGGCGGCCACGGCCAAGGCGAAGGCGCAACGTACCCAAATAGTGAATGGAAACAATGCTGACAGGCAAGAGGCTCTGGAGCCAAAAGTAGAAGTAGCATCAAGTAGCCAAGCAACTTCTAGATCCAGAACTTTAACAATTCTTTTTCAGAGTTCTACGACTGCCACCAGGGCGATGAGCATGCAGCCATACTAGCAGAGTTCGACAAGAAATATGGCCTGGTTCCCAAGATGATATGTGTGTGTATTTGGATAGGGGACGCCCTGGCCCAATGGGTTTTGGTCCATTTCCCTTCTTCCGGAGAGGGGTCGAACTGGGAGGTCTCCCTGTTCTAATACACACTCATATGCCTTAGACTCTCTGTGAATCTTGTCAACAATCTTCGACTTTTCAAACTCTGCCAGGTACGGGCCCACCTGTCAAAGACCCGAAACCCTATGCCGAAGGAGAGAGCGACGAAGGCACCCCGGAGTTTTGCTGCCTTGGCACAAGTGTTTCCTTCTGCCCTTTTGATTGCTGTAGGCTCAGAGGCATCTTACGATGAAAGTGAGGAAGAAGAAGAAGTCGACAATAGTAACGCATACAACATATGAAGAGAAACGTGCGAGTGGAGCTGACATCAAATTCAAGTTTACTGGCCTTGCCAGTTCTTGCTCACAAGGCATAGGCAGCTTCTAGGGTGAGCTGGGCGCAGTTAAGTACTTTGTTTGTGTCAAGGTCAAACGGCCTAAACTGGAAGATTTTTGTAGGTTAAAGATGTTAAAGGAGATCAAGTACAGCACACTTTCAGGTTGTGGTCACCCTTTGCAAACCTGGCAACTTGACCACCCAGCTACTGCATCATACTGCACCTCATGTCAAAGGGCAGCCAAGAAGGGAGATTGTTGGGCCTTTGAGTCCCTTGTGTAGGGATTATCCGGAATTCTACCATCCATTAAATTCACATACAAACGAAATCATCTCTCTTACGTGGAGCCGCCCGCAATCAATGTGATCAGGCCTTTGGCTCCATTTTCTTGCAAAACAATGCAAATCATGCTTTTGCCTTGAATAAGACAGCCATAGATCTGATTGAGAATAGTAGCAAACACGGGAAACACCAGACTTTCACAATTCGGTGGCAAGTTCTTCTCCATCGCAACACAGTTTTTGACGCACCACAAATTCTACTCAGCAGAACTTGGCTCGTTCCTCTTGCTCTGTGAGTTGCAAAAACCTTGGGAATTGGCGCTTCATGGCCACCCATGTTGAGGTGGTACCATCAACTTTTGATGCGACAGTCATGGAGTCTGGAAGCTCATTTGCCAGGTTTATGCTGGCATTTATGCCTTTGGCAGCTGCCCTTGGAATTGGCGGCCAGCTGACCTTTCAACATGGACCCTCAACACCTCATCGTAGATTCTCATGAGAGTGAACTTCCTGTCGCTTGGTCTTGGAGAGGCATCTGCACGAGTCAGAGAGCAAGCACCTGTGAGTGGAGCTCAGCTTCAAAGACCTGAGTGTCGAGAACCCCGACGTCAGACGACGCGCTGCAAATGCTGCCGAGGTGGTGAGTACAAACCGAACGTTCTCTAGCAAGAAGGTTGTCCGACTGTCAGGCGCAGTTCAATTGTGTTCAATTGGTGCTTTGAAGTTTTGACCGGCAACTGAGCTGCTTGACAGGAAGCATCAAACACTTACAATTCAGAGGGGCTTGGTGGCAGTGCACACCCCGCCTTTCATCTGTTGAGAACATTGTGATCGAGATCTATGTTCAAGGTGCAAGTCGAAGGGAGTCATCAGGCTAGAAGCGTAACGCCCGATCGGACCAGTTTCGCAGGTACATTGAGTCTGCTAGAAGGCGAGGTCCTTCAGTCGATTTTTCGTGCTTGATTTGCGCGGTCTTCAGCTGGCACAGCTGAACGGAGGCTCGTTGCTCCACTGCCCCACTGTTGTGATTCAAGCAAAGAATGCTAGGCTCTCAGTTTTGAAGGATCAAAAGAGACGTGAGACCTGCCTGAGTTTGTCTGGCTTGAGGTGGTCATTTCGGACACCTCCGAGATCAGTGCAAACCTTGGAGACAGGTTTGTGAAACAAAATCTAGAGCTCTGAGCTCTGTGCTTGGTCGTGCCGACAGGTACCAATGGGACCTCACATATGTTGGACACCGGAAGCCTTGGTTTGGCTCTGCCGCAGCGAGGAGCTTCGCACGGCGGCTTGGGAGGACCGATCGAATGGTCGATTGATGTCGATGGTTGGGCATGCAGTGGGTATGAACGGTATCAACCCTTAACTTTGTTTGGACCATTTTGTTTCTACTAGCTTCTTGTTACTACTAGTAAGGCACTTGTTACTAGAAGCGGTGCACTTGTTCCTAGTAGCTTATTGTTATTGTTTTTATATCTTACTCTTTTCATGAGCTTTTGTTGTGGATGCCAACACTTGCAAATTTGTTCCCAGAGGCACAGCCGGGGGCAGTTGTGTCGACGATGCTCAGCTTGCAAAACGCCTGACCTCCTCCCCGCAGCATGGCGACCCTTTTGCGCCCTGGGAGTTTGGCCGCGCAGGAGGCGCTTCGCATCGCTTTGCTTTGGCAAGCAGTTTTCGCTTTGAAGACAACTCGCTCTCTTCCAACGAAGCCGCAATCTGCGCGCTTTGCTATTCGAGAGGTACGGCAGGAAAGCGTGGGGCTGGAGGAGGGCGCATCCGGATTCAGGTGGAGTCCGAAATCCGTTTGAATGGCACGTACTGCTGTCACGCTTCAGTGCCACGCTTGAACTCACCACAGGTTTTAGCAGGTTTCTATTTTTGTGCCGCCCCCCTTTACTCACGGAACAAGAAGGATAATGTTAGCTTTTTGAGTTTGGCATTTGGCATGACAGGCTGGGATTTCTGCATTTCACAGCAGCATGTCTCCACTTGGATCCATTGCACGGGCCAGGCTGTCTGCTGCTGGTGTTGCTCCAGATGAATCTGACGATGATGAGAACGCTGCATGTGGCTCCGGAGGACCAAGAGTTTTATGGAACACACAGCCCTGTTATGCCTTTATGACAATTTGGATGACCTGTTGTGTATTTTTCAGGATCAATTTGGATTTCCAGACGTGACCTTGGATACTTTGAGTCATTACCCAAACGTGAAGAATAGCCGTACAGTTCTGCACATCCTTTGTGTTTGTACCGAGCTTCCAAATTCTAGGCACAAGCATTGTCCAGCCTGTGTCAAATCCCCAGCCGACCACTGCGGACACCAGTGACAGCAAAGGCCTCCGACTGAGCCATGAGCCGTATCACACGAGCAATTCACACCGTTGGATGCGAAGGAAAACGCGGCGACTGAGCCGAGGTGAGGTCGATTTTGTTGACGGCATCGGTCCGGCCTCGACGCTTCAGAAGGGCTGGATTCTGGCACCTGGTGGCTGTCTAGAGCTTAGGCAAATTGCTGTAACAAACGTACTGAGCGTTTCATGTTCATGGGAAGATATGACATACTTGTAGAAATTTCAAGTCTAATTACATACATTACAGATTAAATACATATATATAGTATAGTAGAGCACCACGGCTTTCAAATCTTTTCCAACAACACGTTTTTCTTGAATCCAAATCCAGCAGCATTCAGCCTTGGGTACCTTGAACACGTGAACCGACATCAGCTGGCAGCCAGCACTTGACATACAAGAAACTAGTATATACCGAGTGGAGGTGCACAAATAGAATTAGAAGTTTTATGAAATGCAATGAGACATGGCGGGGCAGAAGCAACAGGAGTCACAAGTATCATAACAATGCATTGTGGGGGTCAAACAGGATGATATTTTCAGTCTATTGTCAGCCACAAAGTCTCATATTTCAGCCTTTGTGCCTCTTTCAATCATTTCTGCGATTTTGATGATGTTTTTGGCTCCTTCTCTCTTGTGATGAAGCAATTAGTGGGAACTTATGTGACTTATATATGCTCGTTTTTGTTGCATGGGTTTGGATGCAACGTTGTCAGCTTTGCTGCTAGTGGTTGATGGTGGCGGTCTTTTGGGAAAGCCGCCAATCCTTTTGATGTTTTCTGAATCTGATTCCACCACAAGCTTGCTGCTTTTGCCTCACAAAGCTCCAAGCATTGGAGGAGCAAACAGCTAATCTTTTGTACGTTAAACGCATTTGTGATGCTCAAGATCAACGGTCTGTATGCGAGTTGAAGCCTCCTCAGGAGATTTCCGCTTCAGAGCATGGGAGGAAGGCTTTTGCTTCCAAAGGATTAGCACGTCTCCGAGGTCTTGAAGACACCGGTCTCCTGAGTGGCACTGGGTTTCACAAACATCCAGATGGTTCCCTTCAGCACAGCCATCAGCCATTTTGCCTGGAAAGGATCGTTTCGGAGGGTCTCAATTTTCATTCCCTGCTGCTCCTTATCCCTTGAGCTGCAAACCAAGTCAATCAGTACCCCAAAAGATTTTTTTGCCCTCGCGAGCTGACTCCAGTTCCTTTGAGACTTTGCAACGCCAGACGACGACCTGCAACTTTTGTCCGGCAAGCCTTTCCCCTGATTAGGAAAGTGTCTCTTTCCCGCCCTCCATTTGTAGGCTTTTCAATATTTTGGCGCGTAATCATGTTCTGTCCAGCATTCGCGAGGCATAGAACAACATGATTGCTCTGGTTTGGCCACCAGAAACTCCGCCACTCAACACACTTAGACATTGAGTTTTCAGTGAATCAGAATCCACAGTGAAATGGATGAGGGAAACGTAAGGCGATGGAGTCGGCTCACTTGAATCATTGAAAACATTGTTTGCACGTGTCTGCAGCAAGCGTCAGCGGAAAGCGGCTGAGGGAAACTGGTTTTGGGAGATAGCATGCAAAAAACCATGAAACCAAACAGCAGCGGAGGGCGGACCATTGGTGTCAGTGTGTTCAATGCAGGTACGCCAGACTGATCAGGTCTGGTATCACCACGACATGGATGGGTCTTCGTTGGCTCGTGCCATCCATGCGTCCACGAGCCCCCTGCAGTTGGAAGTGAGACGGAGGGTGACGCACACACACTTAGGATAGGGTGTACTGAACTGAAAGCGGTGCCACACGCC